TGAAATTCCAAAATCTCAAAATTACAAAATTGTGAAATTCAAAAATCTCAAAGTTACAAAATTGTGAAATTCCAAAATCTCATAATTACAAAATTGTGAAATTCCAAAATCTCAAAATTACAAAATTGTGAAATTCCAAAATCTCAAAATTACAAAATTGTGAAATTCCAAAATCTCAAAATTACACAATTGTGAAATTCCAAAATTGTAAAGTTCCAAAATCTCAAAATTCCAAAATTATAAAATTCCAAAATCTGAAAATTCCAAAATTGTAGTTTTAAAATCTGAAAATTCCAAAATGGTAAAGTTCCAAGATGTCAAAATTCTAAAATATCAAAATCCAAAAATCTGAAAATTCCAAAATCTCAAAACCCCAATATCTCAGAATTGCAAAATCTGAAAATTCCTAAATTTCAAAATCCAAAAATCCCACAACTTTAAAACACTAAAATAGCAAAATCCCGTTCCCGAATCCTAAATCCCCACATTCCAAAATAGCACCTAACTTATTTCAAAACCACTGATGCCCCCACCTCGACTCATCCAAGCATTATATTCTACGTGCAATATTTTCGAACACCTAACGTTCTTCCGCTCATCGTTGAATGTGATTATTTTGTAGAATTCGAGTGTAAAAATGAAGTTGGAGTATTCGATGTCAGAAAACAACCGTTCCAACATATTCGCGTATGCCTAGCATACACGCATATAGCTTAAGAATGTACGACGCCATACATTGGCTGGTTTTATCTACGGGGCTCCAACTGGCTCGAGCAGGGCTTCGTGTGTGTTCGTTCCTTGGCTGACTAGATAGCTTTGACTCGTGTAGCAAACATTACCTCATCGTCAGGCATAGCCGGATCCACCACAAACCTTCTCTACTTCTGATTCTCCTCTCGTGTTTTCTCTGTTCGCTACTAACGAATCACACTTCGATTCAGATAAAATTATTTGTACAGTTTGGTGGCAAAATCGCTTGTAGCCATTATCGTTTCAGGAAGCGAATTAACCCCTCGATGCACGAATTTCTTGGTCTTTATACGGTTAGGTTAGGCTTATTCTTATGGAGTTGTCGATAGAGGACACTATTCACTTCACAGTAACAATTCATTAACATTGTCCTTAACTTTCTGGTATTTTAATATTATTTGTGCAGACAGACAAATTTTTTCTCTCCTTGTGTATTGTGATTTGTAAAAGTGACTCGTTATTTATAATTTACCTTGATAGATTATTTGAAGCCCAAGTTCTGAACGTAATTGACTAAAGAGTCAATGTAAATATTTTGAAGGTTATGTAATTTACATGCATATAATATAAATAATATATGCAGCAAATTATGTAATATAAATAATGTAGTGATACATGATATAAGTGATATATATATAAATGTATACATGATATAAGTGATATACATATATAGAAATGTATACATGATATAAATAATATATATAATTCATGTAAACTTTTTGTTGAAAGCAAGGTTAATAAAAATTATTGTGTATCTTTTAATTTGTATGGTAGTTGTCTGTTCGTTGTAAGCAAAATTTTTAATTGTAGAGTGACGTGAAAAGCTGATAGTGTACCCAGTTTAGATGAGCTTCACGCTGTGAACATTATCTTATTGCGAGCACAACCGTCATGAATCTTTTCTAGTTCTAGTACTTCTCTCACGTTTATTCCATTGACCCACATTCCGGGTTGTAAACTTCAATTTTAGACGGATTTGTTTATAAAATCTATTTTTAGATATTTATATTTATAGTTTACTTAAATAAAATATTTGCTGACTTCTTTAAAAAGGGATTATCGTCGGACAAAAAATGTGTATTCAAAATACACTGATAATTTTGATATTAGGAAACGGATACTATTTTGGACACGCTTTTATCTTGTTAACCTCGAAATAAATCCTTCTGCGAATTGATTGCGGAATTCTCCGCCAGATGGCGAATCTGTTGAAGAAATACTCGCTCGAAGCACTCGTTCAAAAAATTAATCAGATCCGAAATATTAAAGAAACAGTACCAACATAAGTCTCGAGTATGTAAACTCTTTTTCGCACACAAAACTTTCAAAGTCACTAATTTAAAAATTTTGTAACTTCAAAATGTACAATGTGGTAATTAAATGAACTTTGAAATTCTTATTCTGGAGATATCATAATTAAGCTCTCTTAATTCTAGAAATATAAAAATTAAGCACCCTTAATTGCAGAAATATCAAACTTTCCAAAATTCAATCTCGAGAAGACTTGATAATTTACAAAAATAGCTTAACAAATTTTTGCATATAGAAATTTAGTAATAGTCAATTAAACACGTGTAAATTTTCAAATCTCCCGCCATTTTCAGAGGAAAGATGTTGCATAGTAAACCATCGTAGCAATTTCTAAATCGTTAGGTGTAAAAGAATGTGTGGCTGTGTAAGCAGAGTGAACATTAACCCCGAGAGATTTTGCGCGAGAAAAGGAGGGATGGGCACGCTTCTTGACTTTGATTTATGGGCAATTAAGAGTCGTGGATTTCTGCCACACACAGCTAATCCGTTACGCGGTAAACCCCTCGCAGCAACCACCGGTGGCCGTCTCGATTCAACAAGTGCCCGGGCTATGTTTCGTAAACACCGCTCATAAGGTCATTCCGTGAATTCTCGTGCACGTTTACTGAAATCGTCTCACGCACTTTGATAGTGTGGGCGGTAGCCATTTTCAAATATTAGTCTTAGGGAGATGGATTCCGTTGGCATTCTGGGTTACGCGGTTGATAAAGCAGATATCTGCGATCAAAGCCTGATTTAAACCACGCAATATTTTTTATCAGAATCTCATTTAACATGGAGCTTAATCTATTCACTACAGGCGATGATAGATATTTTACACCTGAATTTTTTTTAAAGGGAAGTTAACTTCAAGCATATTAAATGTATATTTATTTCAATTTTATATTTAGTACATGGTTATATTTTTATACACATCTTTAGTTCAAAGATAATTCGATATAAATGTATTACTTACGAAAATTCTACTTACGAACTTAAAAAAGAACAAGTTACTTCATACTTGGTATTACAGATGTTCAGTCGAATAAACTGTAATGCCAAGACTTAATAAATGAAAGTACGTATGTTCAATATTTAATTGCATTGAAAATAGCAATTGATTATAATGAACATAGTAATTAAAAATTTCAGTATACTTGTTAGAACTTACACATCAAACGGCCATCTTAAAGATAGTGGCGAGAATTTTAAAAATGCGACCTCTGCTTTAGCGCTTGGACGTAAACTTTATAAATATTGCAACCTTGAATAAGGGGTATCGAGAAAGCCCCGATCAATGAAGAAGTACTTTCTGAAGAAAATCACATTTTCACTGTGATGGAAGGCGAAATCAAGCTGGTGGAATCGTCATTGTTTTCCCCGCGATTCTGCGAATCGTCTGTGAGAGCTCCGGGACTGGTCGACCCTGCTGGAAGTAGAAGTTTCGCGAGCTAGTGGTATTCCAAGTAGGCCGCCACAGCGGATGTGCACTGTCGAGATTGAGTCGTTGCTGCCTCCGCAGTTACTGCTAGAAATCTGTAAATCGTTTCTAAGAAAGTCTATCTTCGTCGAACTTATCTCGGGATACTTGTAATTACCGAAATCGAAATATAAATCTATGTTAAACATTGAGACAACGGCAAATCGGTTTGTTTGCCACAGTGGGTATCACGAGTGCACGGTATCGTCTCCGATGGCATTGCTCGTTTCCTCGGAACTTTTTTCCCCCCCTTCGACTTTGAGCAACGTAACGCATCGATTATCTGTTAAATGACGTTAACGCCATCGTGCATCCCCTACCCGTACCTCAACGCCTTCCCTCCATTTCTGTTTTTGCTTCATTTTTTTTTTTTTTTTTGTACCAAATCAAACGTCATGTGCAGACCACGTGGATTCGGCGGAACGACGAACATGTCGCTGGTGACATCTCTCGGTCGTTTGATGAACGATGATCAGTGGTTCTCGATCGAATTCCATTTGGAATTTCATGTAACAACTTCTTTCTCTTGCCGCCTTTTATAGGAGGCTCGAGCAAAAGTTGAAGAAAGAACTATTCACTTTCACTCGCCGGTTGAATCATACGTAGATCGGAGTACGCTTTAATTGCATTTTGATCTAATCGTTCGATATCTATTTAGTTTGAATTGCTGGTAGGAATTGGTTATTTGTGCGCATCTTAGAACGCAGGGGAAGAAGAAAAAGGAAAACAAAGGCGGAGAGAAAGATAAAATGGAGAGGAGTATTTCACAAGGGGCCCGCATGCTTGCTGATTGAACCCATGAGTAACAACACTCCTCTGTTCCCCTCGTCATTTGTGCCCCCCTTCTCGGCCATGCACACTCGATCATCCATTCCAACGATGACTTCTTCCAGGCCAGGGTAGGGAGATGCGTGACGTCATTCTCCAACGTCTGTCAGCGAGCCGACCCTCTGAGTCATGCCGTTTTGCCTACTCTCTTGCTTGTAACAGAGTATCGAGACTCGACAAGGTCTTTTCTGGCCATGTTGCTAAACCGTCACCCAAGAAAAATTCCTTTACTTTACTATCCACTCTGCATTGTTTCTAAAATTTCTTACTTCACAATTGGAATGCAAATATTTTTCATACCCTCTATTCATTTCGCTATCTAAGATAAGCCCACCTTTTATGGCCTAACCTGGCGATTTCAAATGTATCTATTTCTTACCATTAGTTCATTAGTCACCCATAGGTATACCATTATTTGTAGCACGAAGAAAAAGACCAAAATAGCGCATTAGTTATATTTTGATCCGAGCTAATAAGACTATGCTGGATAAACCTCAGTTCTAAACCGTGACGCTACCCTAACTATAACTTTTAAAAAGGGCCCTTCTTCGTTCTTAAAAGTTATGGTAACTCATGAACATAAAACATTAATGAAGATATTACTTGACAGTAAAATGCAGAGAAACTAACATGTTGCTTGTTTGATTTGCAGAGTTGTGCAATGATGGGTCTGCAGGCCACGGCAGGAAAACGTAAACTGGAGGGAGGTGTGGGCTGCATGGAGTTCGACATGGACATGGGCGAGAGCCCATCGAAGTTAGGTCGGGTGGAGGGTAGCTGGTGGGCGATGGAGGACAGTTATACGCCCCCGCTAAGTCAAACGCCGGCATCTTATTACGATATGGAAGTAAATTCGCCCTGCCTGCAGACAAATCCTTGTCAGCCGACATCGGCGAGTTCTCAACAGCAGCAACAGCAGCAGCAGCAGCAACAACAACAACAGCAACATCAGGCGTCGCAGCAACAGCAGCAGCAGCAGCAGCAGCAACAGCAGCAGCAACAGCAATCGTCGACGCCGACGTCAGCCC